GAAATAAAACATAAATGTTTTGCTATTACTTTTTAGACAGTTTATTTCATAAATGGAATATTTTAAAGCCAAATTCACATTTAAAAAATGCATATAAAGACCAATCATTCCATCAATAATTTATAAATATAAGACCTACTGACATCAGCATACATAATTCTTTGCAGTACTCAGAAAAATCAAGGACTTTCAGAAGGAACCACGTGACCAGAACCCGCAGGTTTGGTGTCACAGAATTAAGTTTGATTGGCTAGGTGAACTGCATCATCAGCTGTTACATGTATTGTATATCAGACGATTATGAAAACATCTTTAAATATAGTTACCAGTGTAATTTCACTTGGTTAGCTGTCAGTAAACAAGGAGGCAGTAAGCTTCATGGTCAAGCTGCAAATAAGGTATCGAGGTTGGAGGAGTGAATGGTAATTTAACATTGCATCAAGTGCAGCAGTTGTCAAATTAAATGTAAAAGGACAACTGCATTCAGTAAACTTGAAGGCAATGGCAAGAAAATAAATTCAGGATAGTTGATACATTGACAAATTTTGAAACCAGATACCTGCCAAACACATCAGAAGTGTTACTGCTTAAGTCAATTTGCTTGATGGCAGGAGTTCCTACTTCCAGAAAATGTTAAAACAAGTTAATGGAATGCCTAAATTCAAAAATTATTTTCAAAAACTTCCTCTGCCTCCATAATTTATAATAAAGATTATACCAAATTTATGATGCAGTCCATTACTATTTGTATACCTGCCTACTGTACTATTCTAAAACCTAAAAAAAATTTCACTTTCACATATGAATCTCTTATCAAGGATTAAATTCAAATTATGTTTGATTCAAGAAAGCAAATTGAAAATAAACATTTTTAATTTTGGGAGCTGTACTAATTTGTTCATCTGAGGGCATAAATGGTGTCACACCAATGGAAACTTTAGTCCACTTATTTATTACCAACTTCAAAATAATTTATCAAATGAAGCAATAATTCTAACATTGCAAGCAAAATTTGGATTTTACAGACTGATATTTTTCAGTTTTTCATTCACTGCATCAACTGTGGCAATAAAGTTAAACACCTAACAAAATCGTTAAGAGAATATTAAATAACGAAATTATACATTAAAGTTCTGAACAATGCTTTTTCTTTCTCATTATTAACTATTACAAGTCCTCATTCAGAAATTCAAATGACAAAGTGGGCTAGGTAGGGTGGATTATTATAGTACCTGAGATTCTCAAGCCTTCACCAACCTGTCAAAGCAATATTCCCTCAGCAGTTGAAGGAACATCATGTCGTCCCTTGTTCATTTTTGTACAACAGCAGCAAACAATAACCTTCAAAACATTTATAATGGCCATGGAATGGAATCAAATGGAAAGTCTTCATTCTATTTCAATACCAATTACTGACTTACTTTTCACTTTTCAGCAGTGTTCCAAAACCATTTTTCCACCTGCTGCCCCATGAAAAGGAGTACAAAGTTACACACGGCCAAATATGTGAACCTACATATAAATACTTGCCCTATGAAAATGCAAGTATATGAAAACAAAATCAACACATGTTGAAGAAAACAAGTGATGATGAACCAGTGTGTGTTGTAAATTCTAATTACAGATAAGACACTACCTTTTTCTAACTATAATGTGATAAAATTCAATTTATTATAAAAATTTGTAAAAAGCCTGAAACTCTATGGTGGCAAAATGGTCACAAAACACTGTCCGAGTGTAGCCACACTGACAAACACATCTACCCTGAACACAAAAATTATGGACAATATTCTCAGTTGCACCTTTACTCATTCAGTGAATTGGGAATGACACCATACGAATTAAGTGCCTCTAAAAATTTCAACCCCATTCACCATACTTTGTAATACTTGCTAATTTGCCTGATAACTACTTCGGGGTTTCACAGAAAAGAATCATTCTTTCCTCAGTGTTTTCAAACCTAGAGAACTTCAACCACAAATCATTATACGTGTATAATAAGCACTCCAAAGTCACAATGAGTGTCTTACATTGTAATGTGCAAAATACCAGGATCCAAAAGCCACTTGTTAGCAAAAAGCTATACTTAATATCCTGTCAAGTCTGCAAAAGTCTGGTCCATTTCATCAGCAATTGCTTTGTATTTATCTCTTTCATTCATCAGTTCATCTGTAATAGAAGGAATGGGGAGGTGACAATCAAATGAAGTTTACTCATAATCCAACTTTGTTGGGACTCTGAAAATTGGCAGACCTATAGAACAGCTTAAACCTATGTGACGTAACTAAATTGTAACATTTCGTTGTATCAAATCACAACCAAGAACTTACTAGCAACAATCATATTAAGGTTATTTATATTCATTTCCTATGTTCAAACTTTAGCAGCATTTTAAACTCTTGCGACACAAGAATGAAGCCGTTTCCTGGCTACACCTGAAGTACACACTAGATGGCAGGGGCAGCTCACAAATTAGGCCATTCAGGGCTCAGACCTACTTAAAATATTAAATCCAATACTATCGCAGCTTAGGCGCAGTAAATTGATGGTATATAACTCGTATGCGTGAACATATATCAATAATGAGTCATCCACAGGACATTTCAAAACAAAATTTGTGATCTACCAAAGTGCAAAATATAAGGATCTTTCTGTTGCAACCTCACCATTATGCTATCCCATCAAATAATTTCCATACTTCAGTTACTTTGTAGGAGAGACAAGATGGAACACACTTCTTTGCATTTTACAATATTAAAAAGTATAAGAATTCAGCAATTTTATTTTACGATTGTCGAAGTGCCCCAATAGAAAAACCGTAAGCTGCCACTGTTTCAACTTCAACAAAGGAAAGACACTGAATGCAGACAGGAAGCACTTATATGAAAACCTGTACACATTTTGTCCACCAGACCTTATGCATGTAACATCAGTAAGAAATTGCAGATAAAATAGCTGATGCCACTTTTTACCATCAGATCTTCAGGCGCTTATTTTGTCAAAAGCAACTCCTTTTCTCTAATATTCAATATACACTTTCATCTGCAGATTTGAAGACCTTAATTGTTCACACTCAGTGAAAACAAAACCTTAAAATTCAATTCATTTGCCCTGAAAAAACATGTCCAAAATCCAAAGAATTGTCATACAGCATATGGTGATGTGTTTTTTATACTGTAAGGAAATTCATAAACCAGAGTTATTAAGGCATTATTTCAACTGGACTTGAAAAGACCTGCAAAAGAACAAGAAATCCAACATGACAAATGACGTGACATCACTATTGTACTTTTATTTATCCACCAATGATAGTCAGGAACTTTAACAGTAATGCATTAAAGAATAAAAAACAGTACTTAACATACCAATTTTCTTTAATATTTTATACATTGTTTTAATAAAACCATAAATAACCCCAAATTAATAAGAAAAATTAATATAAACATAGATCATAATTAACACAGGAATAATTATACCAACCAAATAAAAGATGTAATACAGTAAATAATAAATTTATTTAAATTTTTACAGTTCTTGTATTCTTGATGACCAAACTACAAGATGGGTCCACATAGTAATATTACATAAACATGAACGTGAATTTTTAAACACCATATTAAATTCCACCAATATTAGCACCTGCGAAGAAGATGAAGTACATTACTGCCTTAGATGAAGATGGTATTTGCTATGTGAACCCAGGCATTAAACTGAACAAGATCAACAGACAGGTGTTGCCGTTTAGTTGCCAATAAGTTCGGTGAAAGTCATATCAAGATCGTCACAAATGTACTTGTACTTCTCCTTCTCGTGTACCAATTCATCTGCAAAGAGATGGACAACAAAACAAGCCTTGTGAGAGAAAGATGCTATTCTTATTGAAAAGTAAGACAGCATGAAGGATTATGGAAAAAATGACCAGTCACACCACAATTCATTTGAAGAATGGAGCTGACATATTTACTTACAGTTTTAATAGAAATATGATTCTACGTTTAAATAACGCAAAGCACCCAAAAATTAACTTCAAAATGGACAATGGCACAAGCACAAGTCCTTTGTAAAAATAAAATGAAATATAGAGAGACTGAAGAAACTACATACATTCAACAATGGTGGTAGAAGAACAACAAAATAATAATTATATCAGTAATACTAGACACCATTTACTCTTGTTTCTGTGATCGGAAATCCATGACAGAACAAGTCACCAGGGAAAGTTTTATACACCACAGACTGGTGCATGTAAGTCTGGAACCATACTGTGTCCATACCTTGAAGTAATACGTATTAATGTCTCAAACAGTTTTTCCCTTCATGACCTGTACATATGATTAGTTACAACCCCCCCCTCCCACACGTTTCAGGACATTTCATGTCTGTTAAGAGGATTATTCAAGGAAGAAAAGCAATAACTACTCTAATAATTAATACAATAAACTAAGCACTGATTTTACAATCTACAAAAAGACTATGTTACAATATAACACTTTTTTAATGTTTCAAACAAAAAATGAAAAAAATAAAGGATTATTAAATAAAAATAAAAAATGTGCCAGCTTATTCTATGAACAGGAAATGTTAAAAAAATTTGTATCTTTCAAGTCACAAATATTTCAGAAGCGCTAGGTTTGGGATTATAGCATTAATAACAAAGCATTCAGGCAGCCATTGTGTGATGCAGTTGGCCATTATGTAGTAGCAGTACAGTAGTGATGGCACGGCTGATTGCCGACACTTAACATTGTAAGTTCATCAATCATTAATATTGGTTGGTGTTGCACATTATTTAGTAGCCATACAATTCTACGAAGGCAGAATCCAAATCGTCACCAATAATCTTGTATTTCTCCTTCTCAATGACCAGCTCATCTGGAAAGCGAAGACATCATCAAGATTAATGGGAATGTCAGTATACAACCAACTAACACTGCCATCTGGCAGTAGCTTCCCCAAGTTTGATGGATCAATTGGATGGGCATGTCAGGAAAACTGAAAGCACACTGACAATTAATAACACAAACACCATGCCAGTTTACTTGGAAACTAAAACTACAATACCTTCACAGAATATAATGTAACAAAAAAATTCTTCTAAGCAACAGCATTTTGTGAGTTTAGAAAGTAAACATTTTTATAAAATAAAACCTGACATATTTTATTACTGTTGTAACATATTCTAGTATACAAATAAGGAATCAAACTCAAAGGCAAAAACATGTAGTATACAAAACCACAGGCAAAGGGCATGTAACAGCATGCATTAATAAAATTACCAAACATAGAAAGGGCATTCTACAGAGTCCATGTATATGGTAGCTTCTTGGATCATTTAATTATGAATAAGAAATTACACAGCAATTATGAATGGTAAGATACGATATCTCTGGTTTGTTTCAAAGTAGTTAATTTTAGGATCTGGAGAAACCCACAAGAAACGTTCGTCAATACCCGCAACCTCCCTGATAGGTTTTTAACCAGAGGCCTTCTGAACATGGTATAGGACAACTAAGCATCGCAACTCACTGCTCAGAGTAAATAATGACCCCTTTCTGTCTGTGACTCCACAGAACACGAAAATACTTTTTTTAATAATCAAATCATCATATGATGCAAATACTAAAACCTAATTATGAATTTTTTATGCATATCTCAGAAAAGGTTGCATGTTTTTTTAAACCAAGTATACTCAGATGATGCCTGTACAAGTACTATACTCCATTTATAATATTACACACAGTTAAAGCAGGTAAATCTATTACTTTACATTTTGCCCATTACAAAGCAAAATAACACAATCTAACCCACACGATTCCATGGTATGCATGTGCAGTACTCTTGGTTATATTCTAATACAAATTAATTTGTATTTTTCATTTCACATACACACAAGAATTAAAACTGTTTTCCTTCATATTCGAGGAAATAATTTTTAATCTGACAAAAACTGGTCTGTTACACACCAGTTTCAACTGTGTAGTGCTCACATTAGTACAATGAACATGCAAATTTAAGTCACAGAACCAAATAAAAAAGAAGTTCAACCAACATTTATAAATATTAAGTGAACAGAAAATAAAAGGTGTTGAAACACCTATTTTAATAGTACTAGTAATAAAAATATAATGAACTGATACAATTAAAATATAATAAATTAACATTGTAATCTGATAAATCATGCAGTTATCATGCACTGAGGGAGACTTCACGGAATGATAATGGATTTCTGAAACATTCATCAACACCACTTCCATAAAATGTTGTGGCATTCTAACAAGCCCCCTTGGTGAGTTTCCATAAACTTTGATATTCACTATTCTGTTTGTATTTAGTCATGCTTACTGCACTATTTTATACTTTTCAAAAAGTACTGCTAATTTTAAAGGTTTTGTTAATGACGTGGTGGTGAATTTAAGATTTAAATTCCCCACACAGAAAGGTTAAACCTTGAAAAACATGGCTTTACATTTAGATACTGTATCTGAATGTGACTGATGTACTTTTGTAGCTGTTCTTTGGTGCCCTATGTATACTATATGAAATGAAACACGTCATCACAGCTCATGTCCATTCAGCTACATTTCACATACCCAAAGGACAATATAGATTCATAATCTATCAGAACTTAACACTGGAGCATACACAATGTTTCTGTTATATTTTGTTTACCTACAATCCATTTTTCAAATACTGTAACTGCACTAGAATTTCAAAGCAACTACTTCAAACACGATGAATGTTTCAATGTGTGGATGGATTAATGGGCAAGAGGAACCAAGAATGCTTATCAAACCTGGGGTATCTGAGCACGCAACACCACACTTCATCTATGCCACACAAAGGCAGGGAAGGTTACATGTTCTGAATGTCATGCAAGGTCGCCTCCATCTCTTCTTGCAGTAGCTTATTCTTCTCCTTCTCAGCAACCAGGTCATCTGGAAACAATGTGGGTCAAATGCAATACACACACATTATGCATGTACCAGAAAGTCAAACATAATATGGCAGCCCTTATTGTTTGTGAAGGAAATCACTTTGATTACATATTTACAAATCCTATAGAAAATGCTAATCAACTGGCAGTAAACTTTACAGTTTGTGCTGTATTAAGGTTACATTACTAAGGGGCAATACTAGTTACAGTATTTGGCAATGAGATGCCATTGTGAAGTCTTTTATATATTTAAGGATTTATAATAATACAGTGAAAAAACAATAATATGCCGAGACAACTTATATGTAAATGCAACTACTTAATTTTAAAAAGTAATGTCACAATTTAATGTCGGAAATCCTCTATCCTACTACAATAATATTCTGTGGCGTAACAGCCCTCTGAGAGCTAAAGCCGCCCAGCCATTGCTAGCTTTCATGACCGGATTACGCTACCCATTGTAGCTCCCCAATATCCTCACGATGCTGGGTTGGCACCGGTCCCACACACCAGTCAAAATCTCATTGAGAAATTTCTTTCCGAGACTCGAACCAACGCGCATTCCGTATCACCGGTCCAAAGCATGATGCCTCAAACCACGAGGCTACAGCGCGGGACTCGATCCTACTATCATATTTAAAATAACTCACGAGCATCAACACTGATGAGGAGTATCTTTTCTCAGTTCACATTCTTAACCAATGGAAACAACCCGAGTGATCAGTTAAATCTTTGTTGGCCCGTGATAGATCACAGCCTAAGTAATGAAAACATAACCCCACATTTCATGTAAGACTTACATGTAGTCCATGAAATTAATTTTATGGTTATTAACAACAATTTGTGTGTTCTATGAAGAATGTTGAACATGAGCACATTTCATGGCCCTTATGAACCACCTGGTTCAATGTAAAATTTGAAAGGGTCAAGCGTACAAATCAGACTTCATACAACAGTTATCAAATCAAGAGAATGATGCTGCATTTAGAAAGGATTAAACCGAGGGGTTACACGGGAAATATTCTCAAGTGTGTTGGAAACTGTATATTACATTTTTTCCAAATCAGTTTCTCTAAAGTGAAGTGGCTAGGTGTAATGAAACTACATCTGCAATACTGTACTATCTATTTCATGCGCATTTTACACTTTCAAAAGTACTAAAGCACAACTGACTGTAACTATGCCAAGTAAAACCATCTAACTACATAAAACAGCAATTTGACTGTCTGGTTAAAAACAAATGAATATTAGTACAACTGTGATGTCAAATGTAATTTCCAGCAGAAACATGGGAAAGACAATCAGTTATCACAAAGGAAAGCTAGCCAAAGTCAAAACTGAAATGTTTCAAAACAAATCATGTTTTACATCTGCAAAAGATCACCATCAAAGTATAAAACTTCAAAAACTTTTAACAGTGTTTCAGGTTACCTGAAACTCATAGTGAAAAAATGGTAATATAACGAAAGTGTCAAAATCTTATACACAAAACAGAGTAGGTTATAAAATTGTCTTTGCAACTTATGTTGATCTTTTACAGAAGTAACATAACACAACTGCATAACTGTTACATAATTCCTTGGGCCTTCCATCACAAATCTGACAAATGTATTATTATAAACATGCACGTTACCCTCAAAGTATATCAGATTTGTGAAATCCAAAACATCGAACACAAATGTCACTTCTTTCTGTTTGTTCGTGTCCTTATGACCTCAAGCTTGTGTGTTGTTTGCTCTTCAATAGTGAATCTTTAAATAAACAAATTTTACTATAGCAAAATATTGAGACACATTTTCCAAGTTGAAGGCAGGTGTAATGGAAATTTAATTTTTGTAAAAGTATGTGAATGACCTAGAATTCATGTAACACAAATGCAGTAATGATAACACAGTCATCAAACACAGTTAACTCAAGTTAGTTCACTAATTGGGGGCATATGCACACAGAAACTCCACAGAAATGTCCTTTGAAGAACTAACCCTCCCCCAGCCTCCCCAACTTCACTGTAATCACTTCCCAACATTACAAAAGGTACCAGTGTTTGATATAAAACACACACTACTTACAGTCTCTATACCGACACAAGCAATCTTCTGTAGCTTATGTAACAGATAACCTAAGTGTCTCAACAAGCAATACTCTGTAAGTGTATCACATAAAATATCACAAGCTTCCCCAGCCATCTCCACAGCCAGTTACTGTATGGATGGCCAACAAAGCTTATTGCAACTGCTAAAACATCATCACAAGAAAGAATGGTGTGAAAAGATGTCTTTACACTTTTCTCAGACCAATGAGTACAGACAGAATATGCAGACTTTCCAATCTAGCACATTTTGTTTAACCCTGAAGTAAAATTAGACTTTTAAAGATCTACAAATTTTGAATTATACACAAAAATGAAACAATTAATACATGAAATGAAGACATTTAATCCTGCCAGTGTTGGTCTTAATGAAACAGCTAGCAAGACATCTTCTTCAATGGAGGACAATATGACAAATCTCAAAGTTGTACAACTATCATCAAGAAACTGTTTCTTTGACCAAGATAGTCACCACACAACAAGGAGAAACAAAAGTATCCATGAAAGGCAATATTTCAAAATAGCAATTAAATGTACAAAACCAGGGGAGCTGATTTTCACTTGCATTATTATACAGGGTGATTCAAAAAGGACTTTACAACTTTGAAAGTGTATAGAAATTTATTCAGAAGGCTTACAGAATCGGTTGAGGTGTCATTTTGTAGCAAAACAAATCAAGTTTTACCTCAAACAGTCATTTTGGTTCGATGTGATTGCCATTGGTAATACTGCAGACATCCCACCTGAAATCAATTTCTTGCCAAACACAATCCAGCATATCCGGTGTCACTGCGAGCATATCTGGTGTCACTTCTGCAACTGCGGCGGTGATTCGAGCTTTGAGCTCAGTGAGATTTGCAGGTAAGGGTGGAACATACACACGATCTTTAATGAAACCCCATACGAAAAAATCGAGAGGTGTCAAATCTGAAGAACGAGGTGGCCATGCTATCGACCTGTTCGACCAATCCACCGGCCTGGGAAACGGTTATTGAGGAAATCCCGGACTTCTGTGAGGTAGTGCGCCATCTTGCTGGAAGTGAATGCGTCCTTTTTGGTCATCTACGTCTAACTGTGGTATGAGAAAATTTTCGAGCATAACCAGATACACGATACCGTTGATGGATCTCTCATGGAAAAAGAACGGGCCGTACACTTTAACTTTGCAAAGGGCACAAAACACATTCACCTTTGGGCTGTCACGAACGTGTTCCACAACAGCACTAGAAACACGCGGGCGACCTGGAGATTTGTCATGGCGAACAGAACAACCAGTCTCAACAAAATTCTTGTGCCAAGAGTAAATTGTAGGTCTACTGAGAGGATCCTTGCCATACTGGGTGCGAAAATTTTGTTGAACCATTATCGCAGATTTTGTTTCTTCAAACCACAGCACAAAGCGAGCGCACTCCGCACCTGTGAAAGTAGCCATTTTCAAATGCACTGCCGCTTGTGTTCGCGGTGACTGAATTCGGTACTACAGCACAACGTGAGTCAAACTTGATTTGTTTTGCTACAAAATGACACCTCAGCCGATTCTGTAAGCTTTCTGATTAAATTTCTATACACTTTCCAAATTGTAAAGTCCTTTTTGAATCACCTGGTATTCACATACTGATACTGACCATTCTTTGTAGTTTTGGAAATGATCATGTTAGGACATTTCCTTCAATCATAACACAAGGCATCAATAGTTTTGTGGCACATACCACCAAAATGATATAAAAATTAATCTAAAATAAAATATCAGACATGTTGAAGCACTCTTAAACTTACTTCCACTCAACATGTCATTAGTTTTGAGTCCATTTTAATATTCAACATTTTTCTCGCACAGACATCTCAGATTGCGGTGGACATGTTACAAAGAGGCCAAAATTCATTTTTATGCAGGTTAATTTCAATCTAGTAGTTTTAAGAGAAAGTTAACTATTCTGAAATATAAAATTTGTGGAAACAATCTATTTCACAATAAGGCATATGACGTAATTATAGATTTTGTGAGAAGTCTGTAGATGAAGTTATTAATCACTTCTATTACTTCCCTGTATGATCCACAAATGAATACACTGGACACTGACTTGCCCTGTAAATCGTTCTGAACCATGTACATCATCCGACATAAATCTTGTATTAAGTTATGCCTTCTGATTATACTTCTTCTTTTAAATTTTAATACAAAGTTTTTGTAGAAAACAAAGCCAGATACCCAACCATTCTAAGACAAAAGCCTAATAGAATTTTCAACATACACAGGGACACTGGAAGACCAAGTGAACACCAGTTTTAATTTAGCACCATGCTTCTCCATGTTTGAGCCCTTATTTGGAGTGTTATAAAGTATCATTCAACCACCTGAAAATTTTTCCATGGAGAACATGGTTTGGCACAAATTGTATGTATTGTTTTGCATGGGAAGAAGATGAGAAAAAGAAAAAAATAAACAGAGAGAAAGGGTAGAGGAAGCACTATGACACACTGATAAAGTATAATTCATACAGAAGTGATTTATGTTGGGCATTATTAAAATTTCCACTCTCTTCAAAAAAAACTCTAGTCATGAACCAGTATTCATAATTTGTATCATCTGGAAGTTTGGAATATGATAACAAAATACAATGAAGCACAATTAACAGGCCAACTTCTTGTGTTATGTAATTAAAACTCGTGGACTTGAACCAGTAGTTTCTGTAAAACAGTACAGAATTGTGATGAACCAATGGGACTTACCCTCAAGCCTGTCAACCTCCTTCTGCAATTTTTGCACTGATCTTTCAGCAAACTCAGCACGAGCCTCAGCCTGGCAGAAAAAACACACGATTAAAAATCCTCACTGCCTGACTTTAATCTCTATCATTCAAACAATTCAAAAAAAATTAATGAATCTCATTTTTGCTGCCATGAGCATTTGAATGTCATAATAACTACCAATATGCTAACTTGATTTGAAAAATAAAAACAGACTGTATCTTGAAAACAGAAACCAATTCATACCATACAAAGTAGGTTTAACGAGTAACTTCTGATGGTTTACTTCATACATACACATCCAAAACAACAAGGATTAATGAATGAACCCCCTATTTAGCCACATAACGGATAAAGCAATTAATTGAGACATTTGTCTCTGCAATACATCACCTACTCAATTACGATATGGGTCAGTTTTTACATCCTACAAGTGTGATGTGTTCGTCAAAATGATAAATGCGAGTATAACATCCTCAGAAATTACTTACTAAACCACCCTCATAACTGTCACTGACTTTTGTATGATAATCAGAAATAAAACAGCAATATTATAAATAGTTCCAGTTATTTCAGAACTAAATGTTATACTTCACAGGATGTAACACATTTCAGGCCATCATGAAAGGTAAAGTATGTGAAACTTAAACATTACATTACTACTTTAATTGTAGAAGCCTTTAAAAAGTAAAGCAGACATGCACAAGACTATCATTTCATCATTTCAAGCAACATTAATATCATGCAATACAAGTAACGTACCACTGAAGATTTTATGGACACATTTACAGTACTAGCAACATTTTATCTATCAGTGCACTTGCTGCTGTACCAATATGAAACCTCCTAAATAAAACAAGTTACACTTTACCAGTACTGAATTGTCCACAAAACATATTGGGAAATTTGCAGGCATCTTATTTCAGAAGAGACTGGCCACAAAAATTTAAGAACAATATGTAACACATTTCAGGCCTAACTTTATGGTCAACAATACTTCCACAAATATGCCCTAACAGATGTTTATCAGTAGATTTCTTTAATAACTCTGGAACATACAAAACATACTCAATGAAATGGGCATAATTTCTAAATGCATTTTACAAACACTTCTGACAAGGGAATCATCTGGTTGGTCAGATCAAAACCTTAACTGCCATTTTGCTCATTTACAGAGCAAAATAATTAATGACTGTACACAAAATTTCAGCTGCTGACACACTGTGCACAGGTACAAAAAAATTACTCGAATTTGGAATGTACAGTTCAAATAGTACGATGCCTGCACATGACGGCAAAGTGCCTAACAGTGGCACCATATACCTGGGTGAATTCTATTGCAGCATGTGGACCAGGCACTGATAAGGCTGTGAAAGACTTGAGAAATGTCATACACATACATGCAAACATACAAGATTCATTTTACATTAGGAATCACACAGAGGTCACGACAGTATGCGCACAAAAAAAAATGTACAATGTAACTGTCACAGAAGGGTGAAGAAGCAGTAATAGCATGTTTGAAATATGTATTAGATTTGCTCAATGAGCATTAATAAATTAAAGGTTTATTTGCACATTCCTCTAATTCACATGCCTGAGGTCGCAGACGAGTGTAAAAAGACAAGTGTGTAAACCAGAGGAATGTGTAAATAAACCATATGATGTTTGTGGCACAAACTGAGTTGTTGCTTCAAATTTGCTATTGATGCTTCACATTTTTGTAACAGTGAGTGTATAATTTTAGAATGTGCTTTCCATAAGCTGTGCTTGATTCATATTATCACATGTTCACATCTTGCATGAAATGTCATGCATTCACATTTGTATCTTCCAATTTGCTTCTCCCAAAAGCTAATGAGTTACCAAGTGCCCATTCTGAGGAACAACTAATTAACTACATCTCCAAAACATTGTACTCGCTACCCATTACCTAAGCAATAACATCATCAATCACTTGTGCAAGACAGCAAATAGAAGAAATAAAGAAAGAACACCACCCATAAAAATATGAATTAAGAATGTCTACTTAAACAGAAATGTGAGCTTCATAAGCTGCTGTACTTCATTTTTCAGGTTTTAAATCATGTTCACATAAGCGAGGCATAACAAAAGCATAAAACGTGTTTTAGCCAGCACCAAATGAATAACTGTTTCTCCTTTAAACTGACTGGTGGCATCTCCACAGCTGTTGTAACGAATTAGAAGCCCCAGTGTATGCACAAATTTGTGCGCATGCAACACGAATAATCGTCACATACTTACTTCTGACAGTTTATCGGTTATCAAATGAATTTTGTCCTCACAATGTTCTTTGGTAGCAGTGGCCTGTTACATATTTTGGTTACCATGAAAAAACACAACAAAAGTTTGGTTTTAACAACACAATACATGCATGCAAAATAACAATACTATGCCAGTTTAGGAACATGAAGTATTATTATGGCATATGACTGCCTCAAAGTCTTGCACCATTCACTGATAGTCTACGCAATTACATATTTATTTGTTGTTACAAAAAGGTGCAGTTAATTGACCTAAATAAAAGATGGCATTTGAAGAGAACAATAAACATTTTAACATTTGTTTCACTCAAAATGTCACAAACATGGTTTTCATAATGTTTCATGAACAGGTACACACAAAACATAAAAAAACTTAGATTTATGCATGATATTAAACAAATAAGCACAACAGAATTTGAGGCTGAAATGTGCCATAACAACAATTCTACATGGGGAGTACATTACAACAGCCAGCCAGTCAGGTAGGCAGGACGTGCACTCAAAAACTGTAAAACAAAACTCAAGACATATTTAACTGAAAGACCCTGAAGGACAGCAGCTTAACTTTATGATATAAATGTGGACTGATGTTAGTTCATTTTCAATTGTCCAGAGAATGACAATAAAATTTTGATCACAAGAAGTGTTATGCTTCGTCAAAGAGGAAAACGCATCCTATAGTATGACTAGGTTTAACAGCCTCGACAACCAAGATTTAATTCCCAGGGGCTATAATTTTTCTCTTCACTCCTGTATTTGCACTGGCTCTGGGGCTCACCCAACCTCCTATCATATGAGCACTAAGGTATCTTTATACAAGGATAAAGCAATCAGAATATGAAGATCACTTTCCTCTACCTAGTGTTAAGGTTAAGAAAAGAACATGGAGGGCTATAACCCCCCCCCCCCCAATAATGTCTTAATGGTATAGTGCTGAATTATGCACAGGTACAGCTCTTTGTAACTTAATATGCGGAGATATGACGTGCTTAAATATTATGTCATCAAGACACATAACATGCAGGTTAGCACACACATTCCTACCTCCACACTCGATGGAAGGTTCATATTCCTCTCATGTTTAGACTTGAAAGTTAGACGAGTCCTCTTTTCTAGATGAATTAGAGGAAATATCACAAACAAGAATCAAACCCCAGTATGAAGCGTTACCTTAATGGCTTATTGTGTCTAAAACAGTACTGTACTTATCCAAATGCTATGTGCTCCCAAGATATGAACAATTTGTTTGCAAATCACACCAGGAATTCAAACTTCCTACATACCTTGCCTTTTGTTTGAACAGACACACGTCAATATTTGCTATGCTCTTCATGGTATGCAGGCAGAAAATTACCAAACAGGAATCATCAGTACAAAAAAAAAAATTCCAAAATAATAACGAATGTTCACATAACCAAATACAGCCCCTTAAAAATTATATACCGCATAAAAGTTAACAATTTGAAAGCTAACTTTTCAGTCCACACTTATTACCATGAAACCTAGTTAATCCAAAAGTTTTTCCAAAGATAAGAAATAACAAAAAATTGGAAGCATAAGAAAGCAGCTCTGGCAACTGGCGATTCACCCAGCAACAATGCGATCCCAACTGAAATTCAGTACCAACTATACATTTCACATTTAAACTCCTCAGATTTCCTTTTACCTCTTTCAGTGATCCGGAAAGCGATTTAACTTGTTCTTCGAAAGTTTCTTCCCGCTGTGTTGCCTAGAAGTAAGGTCATAACAAAACAAAACACAACATCATGTTAAATGCACACTCTACATGTTAGGACACACAACATGCACTGAGAGGAAAAGATGGTTATCAGGACCAGAGGAAAGGGGAATATAACGCGGTACCTCCTTTAGCCTGGTTGTCAGGGTCTTAATCTGCTGCTTGTACTCTTCCTCACGCAGGTTGGCCTATGTCACAATACAAACAACAATACAAACAATTAACAACCACGTTGTGCTACAAGGTAGACTCCCATTCAACCAACCTTCAAGAATACGTAATTCTGAATCCCCCCAAAAAGTTCTTCAAAACTTCCAATTATTTGTCTGTACTGAAAATAAACTACAAAACACTTTGGTCACTGTGTACTGTTTTATAGTAAGCTAAGTGAGAAATATAAAATCTTTGCCAGTTGTACTGCACCTCAAAGTTCTCAGAGTATCTTACAAGACATTTAAGACAATTAAAATAAGAAATGATCTTGTGTTGACTATGGTGATTCAACAAAACTGTTTTGTATGTGCAACAAATTCACCAGTTGCAGATAATGCAATAATGGTGCAGGAATTAACAATTACTTTACAAAACATACTGAAGTAGCTTTCTTGAATTCAATGAAATACTCGAATCCACTGAAATAACATTTTTTCTCACTTCAAATGTTACCTTCCTTACATGCATAAAATTTAAGGTTAAGTACATGAAATTTATGTTACTACTGTATATATATATGAAATTAAGTTCCTTAAATTAAATTGCTCACTACAATTTGGTTGCAGATTTACAAACTCCATCACCAAAGTAATATTTGCAATAAGTCATGTAACCAATGAAAACATCTGCTAAAGAACATAAAACAGTAATATCTAAAAGTTAATTTACAATCTTAAATTTTGTGACAATGAAGAAAACTGACCCAAAATCAAAATGGCTTGACAAAATTTAGTAAAAGTCAGCCAAATCATCAAACAGGTCCTGTAATTTAGAGATTCTACCTGTAGGTAGACAGGAACAGCATAACAAAATGAATACTAAAAAATATTATTTTAAACATACTTAAGAAGTCTTTCAAATAAATTATTCCATGTTTTAACAATGAACCTCTCTTTTATGTATCTGATAAAATATTATTTGAATGTACAGACTGTCTATGTGTATTGTATACCTTTCAATTTCTTCCACCTACTACCAAGACAAAATCCCATGTCTAAACTCACATTTTGAGCTGCACACACTATGAATACTAATGAGCAACAGCGTATGATTACATTCTAAAGAGTAAAAACCTGTATTTCACTTTTGTTTCAAGATGTACCTGTATTAGCAAAATATATTATTCTGTATTTGAATGTAAGTACCAATTTTGTAAAAAAATTAATCAAAATATGAACTATGGACAAAACTATGAGAAGGCAGTATCATATGCATACAGAATGCCCAAGAAGTACATCAGTTTTACACTGAGTGTTTACACAATACTTCCCTTCCCCCCCTTCACATTCTGATCAATTATCAAGCCAGTAAAATTTAACTGCATAAGATTTGACATTTTCATAGTAAGAAAGTAAAATGTGGTTTTCTGGTTGTAATGCCATACAATCTTGTGTTTACTACTGTCAAGTTGGAGACAATATGTTCCTCCAAAACACTAGTAACCACATACAAGACAACATACGTGACATCAAAAACCTGATGGCCCACAATCCACAAATTGTAACAAATACAATTTCAGCATTGACTGACATGAATTTTGCTGGATATTTTGCAGTCAAACCACTTCAAAAATGAAAACAGTATACATTGCAATTGAACCTACAACAGCTTTCTTAGAAATTTGTAAGTAAAATAATACGGCTTTATAGCTAGCTATATTTGCAAAGCAAAAATAAAGTTAGTAATAAAGACCAAGAAATGCATACCTTTTCTTCAGACACTTCAAGTGACTTCAAGTTGTTGCCAACAACACGAAGCTCCTCCTCAAGCTCCACAATCTTGCTGCACGACAAAAAGACAAATGGTCAAACACGGTCTAAGAATAAATCAAATTTTAATCAACTTCATTATAGAAAACACTGTATACAGGCATACCTCGTTTCATTGCGCTTCGCAGATACTGCGTTTTTTACAAATTGAAGGTTTGTGGCAGCCATGCGCCGAGCAAGTCTATCGGCTCCATTTTTCCAACAGCATGTGCTCCCTTCGTGTCTCTGTGTCACATTTTGGTAATTCTCGCATTGTTTTTTAGACATAATGCTATTGCAAACTTAATAGACTATAGTATACAAAGTGTAAACATAACTTTTATATGCACTGGGAAACAAAAAAAATTGTGTGGCTCGTTTTACTGCGGCGGTCTGGAACCGAACCCGCAATATCTCTGAGGTATGCCTGTATTACACTGAAAGCATGGCAAATATTACAGAACTGTTACTGTAACCTGCATTTTATGACAAATATTTCATCTTAAATATTACAAAATTTCAAATAACTGAAGGACTGAATTCTATGTATGAACAGATCCAATATAAAACATTTTTTTTTAACAAATTCATCCACTTCCCCATGCAAGCAAAAATCCTTCCATGAAAAGTTGAACATTTTCATACAAAACTTACTGGTGAAAAAATAACAACAAAACCCAGTTATTCCAGTACTCATGTCAATAAATAGAAAACTGTCAAACAGGCAAAAACCTTTAGGGTACCTGATTATCTTCACAGCTCTCATAAGTGCTGCCATGTTACCATGTTAATCTTTGGTAAATGATACACACCCCATTCACAGAGTAACTTAATACTGAGATTTGATAAATATAGTAAACACAAATTTAGTAGCACAGAAGTACACCTAATTTTAAATATATATTCTGGTATTAGTGTGATATTTCCTGAGGTCAGAAACAGTTTTCAGATTTATAATTTATAAGACAGCTCAATCAAAACAACTCAAGGACAATCACTTAACAGAAAATTGGATAAAAGATTATCAAACTCAATCCTGGGACCAACGGCACAGAACAGCGTACATTCTACTTTGTATCACAATGAAGACTCAAATTCAGTTCTGCAACACACACACCTTAATCGCTACAAACATGCATCAAATAGATTTACCTCACTACACACCAAAAGTCAAACATAATGCTACATGCTTTAATCAGACTATTCTCAATAATACAGAGCTATTTTGTGAAGTTGTGCAACTAATCATGCAACATTTAGATTTGAAGTGTTTACCTTTAACAGGCTGACACAGAGACGAAATGCCTAACTGAACATTACACAGTAAAGCTAAAATACAAAGTTTATGAAATCCAAAAACTTCATCCAAAAGAGTTCCAAGGATGAAAAATATGACAAACATGAATGTGCCCATAAGGTGCTCTTCACTCTCACAGAATAAGAGCACTCAATAAAATATTATCTCACAGAAGCTGCCACAATAAGAATAATTAAATATTCTGGAACAATTTAGAACTGATAATGGAAACAAGGCTTTTTTTTGGGACTTTTGCTTCTAATTGAGAGGTATGACTGACCAAGATGATTGTATCACAAAATAAACTTATTTTAAAACTTCCAATACTGCACACACTGCATGACCATTATCAGGATTCATTTTGCCATTGTCATCTTCCATATCAGCAGCCTTGAGTGTAGGTATACCATCTGGAGGGCCTGCACTCTATTTATGGATGAATCTTCTATGTGATTATGCTCCAAAGCTCAGAACTCAGGCCCCTTACACGGTGCAGTATTTAAACCCACCTATACAAGTACAAATTAAATGTAACTGCCTCTTAACCATTCGTAGTGTGCTTTCACCAGCTTCTGTAGTGACTTAAAATAAACTGCTGCACACCATACCCTACAGACACTCTCAAATTCCACCTTACCAAATCACGAATGACCTGCAATCTCCGAAGTACCAGTCATGCAACGGTTGTAACATCTGTCCTCACATACTGTCCGTGTTTTGCTAAACCACTTTCCACCTATATGTTTTATATGGCAGTGTATACTGATGGGTCATTAGTTCAGGAGTCAACATACGTTTGATGGTCAGGTATGTTACCGCCTTCACAGAATTAACATCTTCACCACTGAACTCTTAAAGTATGTACCGATCACCTGTTCATCCAGCATCAAACTTGGAAATGTCATGTCTGCAGATTTATTACATGCCTTGCAGAGTTTCAATGGTTGCATATCTGATCATTTGATCATTACTGAGACTATAAGTCCAATGTCCCAACTGCAGAGGGCAGGGGAGTTTTTATATTTTGATGGATGGCCAGTCGCACATATCCACCCAGCAAAGAGGTCACTTATGCAGTCACCTGATCAGCCAATTTACAAGCACAACCCATTTCTAATCCTTCCTCTAAAGCAGTTTTATCCTCACTGCATGACAAACCAATTCAGTGGGTACTGAGAGACAGTTTATATTTAACATGAATTGAAGTAAAGAGTTTTCTGGATATTTTCCATTGACTAATAAATAAAACCATAAAATCTGAGTGGGTCTACCTGAAGACAGATATAGATTCCCATTTCCAAAATGTCGTGGATTTTAGATATTAGACGATGGAAAATATCCAAAAAAAACTCTTTACTTCAACAAAGCACCATCGTCACAAACTTTTAGGATTAACCTAAACTGTTTACAGGCACATACAGCCAAAGATGCTGAGGAATCTTCAACCCAACAAGCACAATAC